TTTTCAATGCATATTCTATTTGTATAACAACTACAGATCTGCAGTACAGAGTCAAATGCAATTTCTCAAAAATTGCTTGCAAGAGGTAAAATTTTGTCAGTTCTTTGCTATTTTTCTTCTTTTTTTGTCTAAAGCTTTAACATTTTTATCTTTGTTTCTTAAGAGACTAGGTGTTATTTTGTGCATTCTTTCTCTTTACTTAGTACTGCAAACTGTGTTTTCTTTAATACAGTAAAATATGTGTTTTGTTAATTTTTTTGTTTATAACGAATTTGTGTTTAGAGGATCAGCAGAAAGAGTTGTTAATAAAAGTGGTGATAATAAAAATATATTATAAAAATAGATTTTTTTATAAAGATATAATATTATAATATTTATTAGATATAATCATATAGACGCAGAGGGTTAAAATAGATAACCTTTAGTCAGGTTATAGATATGACATCTAGTGTAGAACTTAGTAATAAGCGGACTACTTAAATAGGCAACCAAAAGTTGTATATGTGACTAGTTGTACTCTCCAAATATGTATACGGTATGTGAAAATCATACTGTAAAATTATAACTATAATTGAATAAAGGTATGCGACCAAGAGGTCACCTTAACATCAAAAAAAAACAAAATTATAATATTAACTATTTATTATACTTTAATAATATAATTTATTTATATTTATAGTAGCTTTATATTATATTTATATTATATTTAAAATTAAAATTTATTTAATTTAGAATCTAATTATTGTTGCCCAAACTATATAATATCTAATTAGTATTATATATAATATTAATTTAATTTTAATCTAGTTTTAACTATATATTTACTAGCATTGCAGTATATTATAGTACAATGGTGTTTTAGCAATGCATAAGTAATACTATGTTTATTTGACTTCACCAGAAGTCTAGACACTTTTGCAGTAATGTGATATAGTATATTGTGGCATATTTAGATAAGCTTTTTTGGCTTTATGTTATATTTCTAGTTAGGGTTTGTGGTTATAGGCCTTGAAAGATCATTTTCATATGTAAAATTACTCTTCTAACATTTCTTGTTAATGATCAAAGGCTGATTAAATACTAGTTTTTAAGTATTGTCTCTTTTTTTTCTTTTTTCTTGCATGTATTTTGTTTGATATCAGGCTGATTCAAGATGATTAAAATTTATGCATCTCGATTGGCCATTTCTCATACAGCACATCACATTACTGCAAAAGTGTCTAGATGCTAGTGAGGTTATGTTAATCTTGTATATCTGGAATATGTGTTAGGTTTGTGGCTTAACTGTGATGCATATTGACTAAACTGCAAATCAGATTTCAAGATCTAGTTCAATGTAACATGACCCAAAAAATTTAAAACAAATGTTCGCTTTGTCAAAAATCGCCTATTTTTCAAATATCTGTATAAGAAACCAGCTTTAGAACTCTAACAAAAAGGTTTTTTCAAGCAATTTTGCTATATATCTATCTAACCTTTAACCTTATTCTAAATGCTAACCTAACATTAATGAACTTAAAAAAATTTTGCTATACCACAAATATAACACATATTCCAGATATGCAAATTTCAATATCAGCTGTATATGCATATATATAATTTGATTTTTCAATTTTAATAGCTACTCTAACTTGTTTAGTGTGTTAGAAGTATATCAAGTATAACTCAAATTTACTTTAAAAGAATATCTTCCTGTGTTGCGAATACAAAGCAAAAATTTTAATAATAGATATAATTAAAAATTTTACTTTGTATTTACAGCACAAGAAGATGTTTTCTTTATAAAACTGGGTTACACTTGATATACTCTTGATACATTAAACGAGTTGCTAAAAATTAAAAAAAATGTGTATTACATAATTAGGTATACCTCAATTAAGTAATTAGTAATATCAATTTTTGCTAAAAAAATAGATGTACATATGCATATAGGTTATTTGCTGATCTTTGGCATCAGAAATTGTAGTTTAAAATTAAATTTATATGGAGTAATTGAACAAAAAAAAATCAAATTAACAATTAATTACTATGTTAGTCTAGCATTTTTTAATCACATCGATATCGTTTTCATGTTGCTAAATAAGGTATATCTTTTTAAAAATCTGTATCATACTGATATAATCACTAAATACTGCTATAATCAAATAATAATAAGTAATATAATATTCTGATCCATTGGGATTTAGTGAAAATAAAGTTTCTGCTTATTCGTATATGGTCAAGGTATTATTAATTAATTTTCTCGTAATCTTGATATAACGATAGGGAATTATAATAATAATAGTGCCTATTATTTCAAATTATCAAATTATAGCAATAATAGATTATAAGTTTTATCCAGTTACACGTTGACTAACATGATGAAGTAAATAAAAATAAATAAGAAGCAGTTATCTAAATTTATTAATAAAATATTATACGCATGAAATTTAAAACATGATTTCACTTTACTATCATTAGCTGCTACTTTCAGTAATAATTTTAGTATATAATCAGCAAAATAATTATAAACTTTAGAAAAAAATAGTCTAATATGCCCAAAAAATCTACTTTAAAATGAAATACATGTATTTTTAAGAAAACATCTGCACGAGCATCTATAAGCAAAAAGGCACCTACATTTTTAAACAAAAAAGCACCTATATCTTCAAGCAACAAAGTATCTATATCTTCAAGCAAAAAAGCACCTACATCTTCAAGAAAAAAAAAGAATTATTATCCAAAGCTCATAATGATTTGAATAATGATCTTGATGACTTTAATAAATGTAATGTAGTGTCTTTGGGTAAAAGTGCTAAAGACACTCAATCGCAATACTCTTATTCTCAATCTCCACACACTTGTTCTTAATCTTCATATACTTTTCACAATCACCACACACTCATTTGCAATTGCCATACACTCATTCTCAATCACCATACTCTTGTTCTCAATCTCAATCATGAAATTCTTGATTCAAAACTTCTCGCTCACGTTGCTCTAATTCATAATCGAGATATATTTATTCAAACTTTTAACATTCCCAATCATGATGATCTCATTCCCCATTTAGCTTCCAATGGCATTCTCGTTCTCTATCCAAATCTCAATCTTTCTAACTATGATATTCTCGTTCTCTATCTAGTTCTCAACCTTTCTAACTACAAGTTTCTCGTTCACTATTTATATCTCAACCTTTCCAATAATAACACTCTCATTCTCTGTCTAGATCTCAACTTTTCCAATTACAAAGCTCTCATTTCTTATCTCAACTTTTTCTATCACATTTTCAGCAACATATCTGCAAAAAAAATTGTATTTGAATCAGAATATGAAGTGGCAGTGTATATTTTTGAATGACCAGAGCTTTTAAAAATTGCAAATAAAATGGCTCAGTATGATAGCCTTAAAGGATCAGATAACAAAAAACCTGAAGTTCTCACTCAACAAGTAAAATTACTTTTTAATTGTGAGAGAAAACTATATAATATTAAGAAAACAATTATCTTTATACTGGGGTTATCAATATCTATCTTTATGTTTACTATTAAATTTACAGTAAAATGAGAATTGATTAAGATATAGGTCAAATATAAAAGTTCAAATTTTAGTTGGTATAGAGTTCTAAACATTTTTACTTAATACATCTAGTTTCAAGTTCTTAAACAGTTTTTGAGATTTAGCACCCAGTGTTGAACACCCTGGTATAAATTATAAATATTCTAATACGTATTAATTTTTATAAATGATCTTTTCTTTTTTAGAAATCAACAATGTTTTAAATATTTTTAAAATGTTTATTTTTTAGAACATGGTATCTTACAAAAGAAATAATTCTTAAATGTATTAAGTTATGCTTTTTGTCCAAAAAATTATTATCTAAAAATGTCTTAGGTCTAAAAAAAGTCACAAATGCAGCATTTCGAAGCTATAGAGATGCACTTTGAAGTAGTCTCAAAAAAATTGCAGAGCACTTTATTGAGAATTTTAAGTAAGTAAAATGCATTTTTGGTGTGTTGGACAATAATCTTAATTAATTAAGTTTCAATTTCAGAATAAAATGCCTTTCTCAAGTTCAGGATCTGATGTTCAAGATTATCTTCAAGAAGGTGTTTGGTGACCATTTCTTAAATATTTCTTCAAAGCAATCAATGAAGAAGCAACATTTACTGTAGACTTCAATGAAGTGTAGTATATGTTTATATTAGATTGTCTCTTAAAAAGGATTGATGAGATGTTGAATGAAGAAAAAAGCTCATTAAAATTAAAGATCTAGACTATCTTACATTGGATTATGATATCTATGATACTAGCACTGGTCAAAATCAAAAATATAAACCAAATATCATCAAGCAATCATCTAATCGATAGCTGGCTAATAGTTTGGTGGCTGCTATAAGATTAGAAGGAAGTAAAAATAAGCCGATATATTTAAGATAGTTGTAAAATTTGTT